GGTGACTGGGGCGGGTGGCAGTGGGGGAAGAGCCCAGTAACAGGGCGACTCTTGGTAGGAGGCAGTGATGGGTGGAGGGCCCAGGATGCTGGGGAGGCAACGGGGTCGTGCCATGAAGGGATCCCGTGCCATGAAGGATGCCCGCTGGCCGGGCAAAGTCAGGGAGACTCTGCCGCCAGAAATGAGGGCAGCGCTGAGTGATGGGGACTCTGGCCATAAAGAAGGAAAATTCTGCATGGCTGGGAAAGCATTTGGGGGGGTCTTGCGGATGCTTCCCTGTTTGGTTTCCACATGACGTCATTTCTCTTTCCAGCCCAGGGGCCTCCCAGATGCCTGGAGCAGAAAGAAGGCGCTGGTGGCGGGGTGAGTACCAAGCCATCCTCAGCATGGGCAGCCCAGGCAAACACCCTCCAGGCCAGGCGCCGAGGGATGAGCCCCAAAACCTGTGCTCTTGCAGGTTCTCAGGACTTCCGTCACAGATGCAGACTCAAGCGCTCCGACAAGCAGTTCCCCGGTATTGCCCGTTAGCTCCTAAAAGAACTAGGATAAGTCACAGGCCTGCCCCTTACACCCAGGCTCACCGTCTGGGTCACTGGACGGCGACCGAAATCGTGAAACGTGTCAGTACTTTGGTCTGATGCTCTGATCCAAAAAGAGTTAAGATCCTGAGCCATCAAGGCCCCGCTTGCCGCTGGGTGCTTTCCCCCGCACCTGACGACACGGTCATTTCTTTGTAGCATCACTCCGGGCAAGAGCTGAGGACAAAGCACTGAAGGAAAGCCTGGCTCCAAACCCCGCCGTGCATCAGCGCTGGAGGCCCGCCCAGGCCCAGATCAGTGGAGGGCAGCTACGGGGAATGAGGTCAAGTTTCGTCTAGTTGCACGGTGTCCTTTCACGCAGGGCACCAGAGATACCTTTCCGAGTTAAGCGGGTCGAGCCATGGTGTCAGAATCACAGTAGACCCCCGGCAAGTCCCCCCAAGGTGGGTGCCTCGTCCCTGGCAACCGTACATCTAGTAAGGTGCGCATAGCCGTCACCAGAAGACTCTGTGGCCGGGGCGCCACCGTCCAGCTTGCTGTCTCACGTGTGGTTCTCAGGTGTCTTTCCAGAATGCTCAGAGGCTCCTCTCAAGTCTCCTTGCGATGCAGTCGTCCTGAGGGTGTTGCCTACAAAGGGCCTGGATTCCTCCTTTTCACCACGGAGTTCGATAAGGGATCCCGAAACGCAACAACCGAAAAAGTTAGTTAGCGCACTTAGCATAAGGCAGCGGGCAGCTGTCCACGCCACGCGAGTTCTGGCTCAGAGAGGCCCAGTGTGCGGGAGCCCAGGAGGGGAGTTTGCGGCCAGGGATGAGTGGCCGCGTGCCGCTGGCGGAGAAGGCCCTGTCTGAGAGCTATGCCCGGCTCCGGTACCGAGATACCTCCTTGCTCATCTGGCAGCAGCAGCAGCAGAAACTGGAATCCGTGCCCCCCGGGACATACCTGAGCAGGAGCCGAAGCATGTGGTACTCCCAGTACGGAAACGAGGCCATCCTGGTCCGGGACAGGAACAAGCTTGAGGTCTCCCGGGACACGGGCCAGTCCAAGTTTTGTACGGTCATGTAACTCCAGCCTGAAGACCGGGGCCCAGGCACCAGGCCGGGGGGAGAGCAGGCCACGTTTCGTTCAGGGGCCTTGGTGATTGCCAGTCCTTACTGGGAGATGGCGAATAGTGAGCGCGAAGACGAAGCCGGGCCGGTGGCGCCCAAGCCCTCTCTCACGGGATCGAGTGACTGGCGGACCTGGCCTCTGGGCCCGGTGCCTGGTCCGCTGGCACTGCGGGCACAGCCCAGGCCGGGGCACGGCCAGACACTGCTTTTCTCGGCCGCTTCCAAACGAACCAAGCAAGGGGGACTGCCTGGCTACAAACCACCTTTTCAGAACTTTCTAGGCTGTCGTTAGCCCTCCCCCTTCTGCCTGGTCTGGAGACAGATCTAGAAAAAGGTGGAGGAGTTAGCACCACGTATGGGCAGGCAGCATCTGCGGGGGGCAAGCTGGATTCCGAGGCCAGCGGCGGCACCGCGGCAGGGACTGACGCCGCGCGTCTTGTTACAGGATGGGCATCGCGTGCAAGGCGCGGGGCAGCTTCCGCACCAGCTGCCGAGTACGTCCCAACACGGGGCGGAAGCCCAGAACTACTGGGCTGGAATCGCGTGGCTGGAAAAGGCCGGTGCGGCTTCGCAGTGCGCCACCTCTGCGGGGCCGGGCGCGTGCCGCGGGAGGCATTTTCAAAGGCTTTGCCGTCTGCTGTGACTGAAGGCTGTGAGGCTATGCAACTGCGGGAATCTTTTGTCAAGGCTGGCTTTTCTAAATAAATACCCTTTGGGACACTTCTTCCTTCCTCACTTTTGTTTTAAGTTTGTTCGTAGCACCTTAACTTGGCTTCAGATTCTGTGTGTGTGTGTGTGTGTGTGTGTGTGTGTGCACGCGCGTGTGTTCATACCAGAATCTAATGATTGCTACAAACCCCGTTACAGGAACGCATAAAGCAACCCCAAAGCATCAGTCCTGTGCGTGTGCGTGCACAACCGCGCGTGCTTTTAATGTTCTGGGAGTTTCTTCTGCTGTACAAATGGACGTCTCCACCATGCTTTGAATGTCTGATCAGCATTCCGGTGAGCCGGCAGGTGGGCAGAGGGTCTCCTTGATGGTGCCGGGCAGACAGCACAGCTCGAGCTTCGTCGTACGTGGTTCTCTTTGTGGCTGTGCCAAGTTCACTGGCAAACATCCCGGAAGTGGGACTGCTGGGTCCGAGTGCGTTCCCCAAATGTTTAGTGTCCAGCCACCGGCCTGGTCTTTTGTGACGGACCCTTGGCCGGCTTGCTGCGTGGGTTGGGAGGCTTGAAGTCACATTTCCTGGATCGCCTCCCGGAGTGGACGAGGGAGGCTGGTCCCAGGTACCAAGTGAGGCCTCTGCAGTGAGGGCTGGCCTGTGGAGCAGCCCTGACACGGGAATTAACCCAGTGGACGGCTGGGTCAACATCTCTGCAGGTCTCCCGTTAAAGTCCTGCTTGGGAAGAAAGCAGACTTCAGAGACTCATCGGGAATGCCTCTGTGCCACACGCTGACCCGCACCGGATGAACCTGAGAACAGGTGCTGGTTGAGTTCTGTTTGGCCCCAGGCATGGAGGGGTAGCGCCTGGGAAGACCAGCACCGGCCACCACCCACCGCCCGTGTCTGCAAGGGTCAGGGTGTGCAGGTGACCGACGTGCACCGGCTGCTTGTAGGACAGTAGGCGCTAAGCTGCTTAGAAGAGCATCGGAAGCCACCATCTGCCCGAGGGAAGCCCGGACGGCTGGTCTCCCTGGCTTGGGCTGGGGCCACTGAGGTGGACACGGCCCAGCCCCCGTCCTTGGGGAGGTTGGC